GTTCATACTTGTTGTGATCCTTTTGGCTTGAGTCTGTTGATCTCCACTTTTTGTGTTGCTCACCTGTGTCACAGGTACATACGAAAGTCTATTAAATAATGGAGAGGCCTTTTTTTCTTGGTTCCTGACGCCCCCCCGGTCCCCCTCCCTGGCTGCAGTGCCAGCCCACAACCTCTACTACACCATACTACAACATCTGAACATTACATGTCTCAAAATCAATATTGAGATAGTGAAGCAGAGCAAAACTAGAGAGATTTTAGACTCATTTCTAGGTGAAATCTAAAGACACACATAATAATAAAATTCAAATATATCTGATACATAAAATACAAATGGACACGTGGTGAATACAGCTGTTTCCCTGAGTTCAGTAAGTCTGTGTCAGTACTAGATTCACCTACCAAATGAAAACAAAAGCATGTGATCACCTAATGGCTCGGGTAGGGCCACTATACAGACCTTCCCCCTTGGCAGACATGAACACAGAGGGCTTGATCGACTCAATGTGAAAGCGAGACACTGGCGGATTGTCAGCACCAGACAAAACTTGCCCATGTGTGCTGAAGAACACATTATGCAACTACATTATTCATATTGCATTTGCAGTTAATATTTTTGCTCGTGCAATAAGTCTTAGTCTCATTGTTTCTTTAATATCTTATTATTGTGCAATGGCTTATTTATATTGTATTTATAATTAATTTATGTCAATTGTTTCTATACGGTTTTTATGTTGTGGGTTATTTTCTTTTAAAGAAAATATAATCTCAAAGACAAAGCTATGCAGTTTCTGTGTGAGTGTTTGAACATTGGTTTGTGAAACTGACTGCAATGCAAGGGGGGCGCAAGTAAAGTCTTGCTGAGGGATCCAAATTAATGAATGTTACATGGAAGGTTAAAATCAGTTACTACAGAAGAAAACTGTGTGTGTGTGTGTGTGTGTGTGTGTGTGTGTGTGTGTGTGTGTGTGTGTGTGTGTCCTCAGTGAACTGTATCAGTCTCTGCAGTAGCTTCCAGCTGCAGCAGTCATTTCAGTTTCTGTTCAGTATGATGGAGGGGAGGTTTTTGTACGACGCTTTTTCACTGTGTGAACACATTCTGACTGTTCAACCAGTGATAACTCTGACAGTAGTAAACTCCTGAATCTTCAGCCTGGACTCTACTGATGGTCAGAGTGAAGTCAGTCGTTGATCCACTGCCTGTAAATCGACCTGGAATTCCAGATGCTCGTTGATTAACCCCATACAAAAGCAGTTTAGGACGTTTTCCATCCTCTTGTTGGTACCAGAATAGACAGGGGTATTGTGATGAAGACGGGCCACAATCTACGTCAACCTGACGACTGATCCCACAGTTGATGGTGACGGAGGCTCCCAGAGCAGAGCTCACTGCTCCAGACTGAGTCACTGTGACCTGTCCTCTGGACTCTGAGGACACAGAGACAGAAACATAAAGCAGCGTCATGGTTTTGTCGGCTTCATTTCAGAGGGACGGATGTTGATAGAGGAGAGGAGTTTGATTCTCTGGACTTTACCTGTGAAGCAGCAGCAGAGGAGAGTCCAGATGAGGACGGAGACCAAAGTCATGTTTCTGATGAGGAGGATTTCTGTGTCTTCTGTTGTCATGAAGGACAGCTGTCAGTCATCCAGTCTTCAACTCTCAGGACTATAAACTCTCCCAGAGCACTGGAGCATGGTGCTGCTGATGCAAAGTGGCTCTCTATGGAAATGCTCTGACTGACTCCAACAGGGACTTGGATCACTCTGATCATGCTGTTTCTCAATGGATCAATCAATTGATCAGAGTATTGATTAGAAATATATCACTGATCATCTTTATGTGAATTTCAATTAATGACTGCAAATAAATTTCTTGTAAAACCTCCTTTCATCTGTTTTCATTTGATACTAGAAGGATCAACTTTAGTTTGAGAAACATTAAAAATATATATATTTAAGAAAGGGAATTATTTTGAAATATATTTTCGATTGTTAGATTTCAAGTTTTTGAAAAACAGGAAGTGATTTATTTGAGTTTGTTGTTGTCAAAGTCAGAGAGCCGTGTCTCTCTACAGTGAGAGGTTTTTGGTACGAACCACGCGTCAGTACTTTGTTCATGGTGGGACCCGTTCGGTGCAGGAACCACGACTGATGTTGGAAGTACAGTAATTTTATGTATTTTATTAATGCTCACAAAGAATGAACTTTTGTTGTTTCTCACTTTATCATTTTTATCTAGAAGCTAAAACTCACTGTGAATTTGACATTTTTTTTATCCGCTGAGAAATTTCCTGCAGACATCAATAATCTCAGTTTTGTTATTTAAAGCGGTAAATGGATGAAATGAATAACATGATCAGGGTTATCTGGTCCCATGATAGAAATCATGTCATCAGGATGTTCAAACCGACAGAGACTTGAGACTTGTAGCTTAGTAGTTCAGTCCAGTACAGAGGTCAGAGAGCCGTGCCTCTCTACAGTGAGAGGTTTTGTACGACCACTCGTCACTTTGTATCACTGTGGAGGGCACTTTGGTGGGAGACCAACGGTTGTTGTTGGAAGTAAGTTCTCATGATCAAAGTATTCAGAATATTGTCTCGGTCAGTTCGCCTTCGGTAATTTTCTCGTTGTGTGAACATTTTAGGAGATGTAATTTCCATTGTGTCTGATCCAAACACTTTCAAATGTAAAGACTAATGTGAAAACATTTCTACAGCAGGATTGTTGTTCTTCAATCTTTCCTGCACTTCACATTGTTCACGTTTCACAAATGAACTGGAACATGTAAAGAAAAGTTGATGAAGCTGCTTTGAGTTCAGCTTCATGGTTAAACAGGAGAAATCAACAATAACATAGAGATTTTAAAGTGATTTGGATCAGAACAATGGAAATTTACATCTCCTACAAAGTTCACACACAGAATTACAAGCTGAACTGACGAGACAATATTTAATATTTGATGAGAAACTTACTTCCACATCCAGTCTGGTTCCTCCACCAAAAGTCCCACAGTGATACAAAGTGACTGAGTGGTCGTACAAAAACCTCTCACTGTAGAGAGACACGGCTCTCTGACTCTGTCTGACTAACTACAACTACAAGTCCTCAAGTTTCTGTCGTCTGAACATCTGATGAATGATTTCTATCATGGACCAAACACTGATCATGTTTTCATTCATCATTTACGCTTTAAATACAAAACTGGAGATTTTGATGTCGGCAGAAAATTTCAGGAAAAAAATGTAAATCACATGTTTTAGTTTCTAGATAAAAATGTAAGTGAGAAACACAAAATATTCTTTGTGACATAAGTAAAATACATAAAATTAACTTACTTCCAACATCCAGTCTGGTTCCTCACCGAACGTGTCCACAAGTGATCACAAGTGACTGAGTGGTCGTACAAAAACCTCTCACTGTAGAGAGACACGGCTCTCTGACTTGACAACAACAAACTCAAATAAATCACTTCCTGTTTTTCAAAAACTTGAAACAACAATCGAAATATATTTCAAAATAATTCCCTTTCTTAAATATTATATTTTTAATGTTTCTCAAACTAAAGTTGATCCTTCTAGCATCAAATGAAACAATGAAAGGAGGTTTACAAGAAATTTATTTGCAGTCATTAATTAAATTCACATAAAGATGATCAGTGATGATATTTCTAATCATACTCTGATCAATGATTGATCCATTGAGAAACAGCATGATCAGAGTGATCCAAGTCCTGTTGGAGTCAGTCAGAGCATTTCATAGAGAGCCACTTTGCATCAGCCACCATGCTCCAGTGCTCTGGGAGAGTTTATAGTCCTGAGAGTTGAAGACTGGATGACTGACAGCTGTCCTTCATGACAACAGAAGACACAGAAATCCTCCTCATCAGAAACATGACTTTGGTCTCCGTCCTCATCTGACTCTCTCTGCTGCTGCTTCACAGGTAAAGTCCAGAGAATCAACTCCTCTCCTCTATCAACATCCGTCCCTTGAAATGAAGCCGACAAACCATCGACGCTGCTTTATGTTTCTGTCTCTGTGTCGAGTCCAGAGGACAGGTCACAGTGACTCAGTCTGGAGCAGTGAGCTCTGCTCTGGGAGCCTCCGTCACCATCAGCTGTAGACCATCGGCTGTACTATTATTGATGGTCTGACCACATATTAGCCTGGTATCAGCAGAAAGAAGGAGAACTCTAAACACTGATTTACTGGCAAATCGCAAAGCATCAGGAATCCCAAGTTCGTTTTACAGGCAGGTGGATCATACAGTGACTTCACTCTGACCATCAGTGGAGTCCAGGCTGAAGATTCAGGAGTTTACTACTGTCAGAGTCAACATCTATCAACAGTCAGCAGTGTGTTCACACAGTGAAAAAGCGTCGTACAAAACTCCTCAGTCAGACTGAACAGAAACTGAACTGACTGCTGCAGCTGGAAGCTACTGCAGAGACTGATACAGTTCACTGAGCGACACCACCACCCACCACCACCACCCACCACAACACCACCACGCACCACCACCCACACCACACGACCACCAACCACCACCCACACACACACACACACACACACCACACACACACACACCCACACACACACACGTAACGTCTGATTTGAACCCCTCATTCACCATCTATCAGCATTAAAGTTTAGGACACACTTGTACCTGTTACTTCCCGCTCTTTAGTGGCTCTACAGAGGTGAAACAACACTTCACCAATGACCCAAATCAAGCACAGAAGACGCCTCTGAAACAACCAAGTCCATGGAGTTTATTAACATGAATATAATAAACAACTAAGACTCTCAAATAAGACTACAAAAGATACAAAATCTGAACACAACAGCAAAACAACACTCCCAGGCTGAGAAGCAGCAAGACCAACAGTCCCCATGCCTGAAGCCCTCTCTCTTCTGATGCTGCACCGGAGCTGTTAAGCTCTTCATTCCCAGACCAGGTGAACCTCATGGAGGACTGATCAGGAAGCACCTGGGTGGAGCTACAGAGAAGACAGAGAGGAAGAGAAAAAACTGAACACCAGCAACACACACGACTGTAACACCCACTTACCACAATGAATAATAGACAATAGATAATAAATAGATTCATCAAACACAATTACTTAAACATTCAAGTTCAATGTGGCACAACACACATCAACCTTCACTGTGCGACTCATCTCACTGCACAAACACCAACTCTCACACACAACTCACTGTACAGCGATGCTGATTGTGCTCAGGTCTGTCGACCTAACGTTACTCCAGGGCGACCGCATCACACACCTGCACAAGTCTTCAACCTCACTCTGAAGCTAACAACACAGCTGCTCAAACAAGATCACACCACAAAAGGCCCCTGGATTTAAGAAGGAACAGCCGACACACAAGCAGCTACACAAGTGAGAGAAACTCCCATAGAGGCAAAATGGCAACAACCATGAGGTGAGCAAACACGCAAACAAGTGACGACATCCCACACACAAAAAAGTCACAACAAAACTGAGCAGCTGGCAGTTAAACACACAAACACTGACACACAAGTGAACAACCCAGAAGTGGACTGCAACAACCACAACACTAAATGCTCACAATGCAGTCAACACTACACACACATGCTGCAAACTTACATGTGACCAGCAACTAACAAGTGACCAACAGATGTGGAGTGCAGTTACCACAACAAAGGTCACACAGAAGTTACTGAACCAGAAAGTATTTATCAGAGCTACACAAGACAAAGAGAGCAAACAAAAGAGAGTCATCCCACAAAGAAAAGAAATCAACAACCTAGTTGCTTTGCAAATGTTAAAGTTACAAGGTGAGAGATTATTTTTATTTGAAAAACACTTTGTTCTTTTGCAATTGTTACACAAAGTATATGGTTTTCATTCATCTCCATGAGGATGATTGAAAGAGTCAGTGTTCCAGCAGTGAGGAGGACACAGCATGATTGTTGAGGACAGCTACAGTTCACTGACTCTGTGTGTTTGCATATGTGTCCTGCCTCTCTGCTCCCAGCCGTTAAGAGGCCAGTGTTGATCATGGCTGTCCAGGCCTTTCAGAGCCACTGACACGCCGGCAGCACAATGATGATGTCTCTGACTCTACTGCTGGCCACCCTGGGGCTCCTTGTTCAGGGTGAGACTCTCTTGTGAAAACTTTGCTTCAGGATGCAACCGGTTCACCACAATGATTGTTCTGCTGTGATGGAGAAAACTGAAACAAGCAGCATTGACCTTCTTCCATCTGTTCTCCATGTTAAAGAAATCATCCTCTTCTGTTTGGATGTTGATCATCTTTCTCCAAGCTGGATTTGTCTCAATAACCCTTCTCCTCTCTTTCATGTTTTCCAGGTTCATCAGGAGAAACATCCTGACTCAGTCTCCTGGATCTCAGTCTGTTGTTCCAGGACAGACTGTCTCTATCGATGTAAAGCCAGTTCAAGTGTTAGTAGCTACCTCACTGGTACCTTCAAAAACCTGGAGAAGCTCCTAAACTCCTGATTTATGATGCTACAACCCGTCAGTCTGGAGTTCCAATCGTTTTAGTGAAAGTGGATCAGGGACTGACTACACTCTGACCATCAGTGGAGTTCAGGCTGAAGATTCAGGAGTTTACTACTGTCAGCAGGGTTACAACCCGTTCACACAGTGAAAAAGCGTCGTACAAAAACCTCCCTCAGCTGCAAAGGAACTGATCTGACTCACCAGCTGCACTGAAAGTAAAACACTCGAGGTTTGACTGCACACATGTTCTCATGCTGTGAA